CATTTCACTCACACTGACATGTTTACAGGGATTTTAAAAGACTGACACAATAAATCCATTTTCTCTGATGTCATGGAAACAGACTGACTGATCCTGATCGATGATCCTGATCGATGACTCACCTGGTTCTGAGCTGTGATCCATAACGGCAGCACTCCGTTATCCCACCACTCCGATGTTTTCATGGTCTTTTTGTGAGGAACTTTTTGGTTCGTTGTCGTGTTGAACATCATGTTGTGGACGACTTCATGATCCTCCACCCACCTGCCTGACGCACAGGAAACAAGACACAAAGAGGTTTTAACATTTAAACACACTGAAAGTAGCCAGTATCAGCTTAAACAATAGTACCTGTTGTACTGTTGGTGCTTATATGACTATGACAAGATAAAATAAAATAAGACAAGATTAAGTCTTGACTCAGGGGATGATCACAGACACAAGTGCAGATAAATTGAGAAGTAAAAAATGAAAATAAATTAAAGAAAAGATCAACTGTAGAACTTTAATTAAACACCCAGTCCCTTTGACCAGCTCTGTGTAGCAGAAAAAAATGTAGCAGCAATATTTAACAATAAATTAAATGATCACCTCACAGGCTTTTACTGTGATATTTTACCAAGTTTTGAATTTTATTGTGAAACTCATGCAGGTAAATGTAGTAATTTTACAGAGGCAGTTTTTCTGTGAGATTACAGTGAGATGCAGTAATTCTACAGGAGCATACTGTTAAATCACAGTAATCAATTGTACATGATCTATGACGTTATAGTTAAATTCAGTCATTTACAGGAAGGCACTGTGTTATCACAGTAATGTAACGGGCTTTAACTGTGAGGTTACAGGTAATATAGTAATTTTACAGGAGCATACTGTTAAATCACAGTAATATGTAGGTATAACTACTGAGATCACAGTATAGGGTTGTCATACAGTAACGTACTGTGAAAGTGATGCAACTAGTAGCCAGTAGTTTCCTGTAGCTGTACAGTCAGATCTTTCACAGTGTATAGTTTGAGGTATGATATGCTACAGTATGAGGTGCAGTAGTGATGTAATGATATGAATAAAGCAGTTGGTTGTTACCGGTGATGGTGGTGAAGTGGGACGGGGAGGTCATGGTCAGCATTGGCGGGGTGATGTATTTAGCCTTGACCCCGTCCTCCACCAGCTGGTCCAGGTGCGGCGTGTCCACGTCCTGGTCGTAGTCCCACCTGAAGCCATCGAAGGAGATGAGCAGCAGCTTGTTTCTCTGCGCTGCCTTGCTCAGAGGTTTGCCGGCAGCGCAGATCACCGCTGTGACGACCAGAAGGAGCTCCAGCCTCATCTTCATCTTCACGCTGAACTGAGCGTGAGGCTTCACCTGTCTGTCGACACACCTGCAGCTCCCTCCCAGTTTAATGTGTAACTCTGATAGAGATCTGCTGAGCTGCTGCGAAGGACGAGACCTTCGACTGGAAGCAGAGCTCAAAGTGACTCTTATCGATCAGCATCAGTAATCTGTGGACCTGCTGATAGCTGCTCGCATGTCTGGCTCAGTCCAGATATTTATAATGTGTATTCATATAATTATATCACGTGGCAGGGGAAGAAACAACTGACACAGTGTTGGACCAAATAAAAGTTCTTTTTGATCATATCACAGTAAACTGATGAGGGATTCCTTTTTATTGTGTTTATAATAATTATAAAATATTTTGTTTTTTATTCTGTGTGCAGTCAGAATAACTTCAGTTTTCACTTCAGTTGCAGTTTTCACATAATTTAAAATTATTGTGAAATGTATTTGGACAAAAATTAAATATTAATAAACCAACAAGTCAAACTAAAAAAAAAACCTGAACTCAAGGTCATCTCACTGTTTCAAGGACTTTCAACCACATCTCAAGGTCTTCATCAGCACATGCCAGTCGTCATGGAGACAGCAGTAAAAGGAACCTCTGACAAAACTAAGATGACCTTGAGTTAAGATTTTTATTTATGTCAAACATCCATTTCAAATCTGAAAGGATTTGAGTGTTTGTCTGGGAAAAAAACATATCTATATTATTATTACTCTTTGACAACGTTTATATCATATTTTCATAACTGAATATGATATAAACGTTTTCAAAGAGTTCTTTCTTTAATAAATACAACTGTCACACTGAACACACTTTATATTAAAAACAAAAGCTAAACCTCTCTATAATCCTGTCATGTTCAAACCACATTGCTTCACTGCTGGTTTATCTGATTACAATATGATGACTGTAATAAAAGTTGATGCCAGATTAATGACTCATCAAACTGATTTACTCAACTCAGTAGCAGTTTGAAGGACAGCGTGAAGGGAACCATGTGAAACAGGTCAGTGAGTGTGGAAACAAAAAGGTGCAGCAGCTGATTTATGTGACTGAATGAACAGTTAGTGAGTAATGACATAAGAACTGAAGAAAATAAAAATTATCACAGTAAAAAAAAAAAAAAAGTAAAACAAGTCATCAGCTATAAAGCCTGAAAACTATCATAATTACCAAGGATTTTTTTGCTGATATGTAACGACTTATTTGACCAATAACTGATACTGATATATATCTACTATTTTCGCACCTAATTTTAGTGATCATCAAGTCTCATATATACGTACACATACATCCTCTCATCATGACGGCCCAGCAGCAGATGGAGACATGAAATACTTTTCTTTCATTGTGTAAATAAGCAAAAGCATGTTGGCTGGTTCTGATTAAAGCTGATATCAGCCGATACCTATGATGTGCTGTAACTATTGTGCATCCCTAATATTTATATTCAGTTTTTAATTGCTAAACTTATAACTAAGTACAAACTTCCCTCTTTGTGTTCGTTGACACTTGATTTTCATCTCTTGCTTCAACCCTCTGCTTTAAAACAATATATAGAGCACAGTATCGTACTGTGTAAACTGTGTGTGTTAATTTAAAACAGCATTGTTCTAAATAAAGTACTAAAATCAGTGGTTCCCAACTGGTTCATCCACAGGGTCCAGATTTCCCCTCACTCATTTCTTAAAGGTCCACATAGTTTAATACGTTCAGTGTCATACTTGTGTTTGACCATGTGTTGGAGCCAGTTTGCTGTCTCTCTGAAGACACTGTCCATTAGTCTCTTGAAGTATTTAACTTCAAAATAAAAGCTCTGTGCTGGAAATTCACTGTACTTAAAAGTAAAGTATGTTTTTTACAAACTTGACATGTTTGCGAGTCACTTGCTCCATTCAGATTGGACCTGCGACCCACCTTTGGATTTCACACTAATAAAAACAGCTGACAAAATAACTGAATATATCCGACTGTTTGAGGAAAAAGACCAGTTAAAGTATATGATTAGTCAGTGGTGGACGAAGAACCTGAGAGACACACCTGAGTAAAAGTACAGATTTCTTACCAGAAAATAACTCTATTACTTGAGTGAAAGTCTCAAAGTATCTGATATTTACTACACTTAAGTAGCAAAAGTAATTTTATGATATTAAATGTATTTAAGTATTAAGTTAAAAGTACATGCTGGTAGCAAAAAGCAAGCATTCCCAGTTCTGACAGTTAGGAAGTTTATTTCTACACCACCTTAAAAATGAGGCGCACATGAAGAAAAACAAGATTTTTTTCACAACTCAAATGAGAACAAAATCCAAATACTATTTTGTAGTGAGTAACGAAGATGCTCAGGGCAAATGTAAAGGAATAACAGTTTTGTTGAAGAAATGTAGTGGCAGAAAAATGAAAGTTGGCAGAAATATAAAAACTCAAGTAAATACGGACCCTAACAAAGTATCATTACTGCTTTACTGGATTTGGTTTACATACATTTTTATTGCTGGTTCATCTTTTCTTTAGATTTTTTGAAATCCAATTCATTTGTAAGTACCTCAAACAACAGGTGATTTTAAAATTTACGTTTGTGTTGATATTTTGTACATAGAATCATGTTGTTGTGAAGACAAAACACTATTTGTCCTTTGTAAAGATCCAAAAATAGTAATAACAATGATAATGCTTTTTATGTATAGGTGTCTTTCACAGCGCTCAAGGACACTTTACAAGAGACAATTAGAAAAACAAGCAGCAGTGTTTCCATAGATCATAATGTCAAACAATTCAGGATTTTTCAAGAAAAGTTGATAAAAAGACTCGACAAAAATCATAAATATAAATATTATTACTGCATTGAAAAGTGAAATTTTGGTTCTCAAGTACACCCATAAAACTTCTCTAAATGATTCAATATCTGTTTTTAAAATGTTCATTTTTGCACGTCACTCATTTTGACAGTAAATATAAGCACAGTGCAAAATCTAAACGAACATGCTGGCTGGGTTTAGATTAAAAAATAAAAATAATTAATAAATAAAATAAAAAAATAGATTTAAGGCCCATTAATAATAGTACAGATCCCATAGATTTCAATAATAACCAGGCAGATCCTAGTAGATTAAATGCACATCTCTTATTTTGGTGGGGCAAAGAAATCCGGAAGCACTTCTATATGAATCAAATTACTTCCGGTGCACAGAAGTTCCTGCTGCTCACGCTTATGATGTGAAGTCCTTGGAGGGTTTACTCTCAAAATGCAATAACTGTTTTCAAATTAATTTATTATACACACTGTTTAGTGTTAACGGAAACTCTCTGATCATCTGACGGCGACGGAAGTTTGTCCGGTTTCCTGAGAGCCGGTAAGAAAAGCGATAAACACTCCGTTAACCTCTGTGTTGTGTCTGTCAGTTAGCTAACGTTAGCTGTTAGCCATGTTGTCTGTATGTGCGAGGATAAGTTAGCATTAAGACGTAGGTACATGTGTTCATTCCACCTCACGGTAAGTTAAATTAACGCTACATGTTTACTGTAGTTTGCATCACCTTGATTCTGATGTGTAGAATGAAGGTGACACCAGACTCCATTTACAAAACCTGACATTTTAGAGTTTCTTGCTCATCAGACACTCACAGAGGAGTAATTAACCAAACTAAAGACATTGTATAATTAATCAGGGGTCTTATTTGACTTCGGCATGCATCTGTTACACCTAGAACATCTAAAGTCAGTCATTTTCAGCATAGTACATGTTTACTCCTATAATCTCCTATCGATATAACAGTCTGAGCTGCCTGAGGAAACCTGTCTGAGTTACTCCCCTAGGTGGTGTTGTTTGTGCCGAACTGGCCGAGAGGACCGTATATTTAAAGTCTTAATTGTTATATTCCAGCAGAGTGTGTTCAGGTGGCTACAGTCAATGAAAGTTCTGCAGTTTGTGAAGAGGATTTGGTGCAGAAGTCAACAGAATGGAGTGCAGCAGGGATCGTAGAGCTGATGAGTGTTTATGTGTATTCCGGGGGCCTGTTAGAGTCCTAGAGTTTGTAATAATAATGATAATAATAATAACAATGATGGTGGTGGAGTTTGCATGTTCTCCCTGTGTCAGCGTGGGTTTCCTCCAGGTGCTCCAGCTTCCTCCCACAGTCCAAAGACATGCAGGTTAATTGGTGACTCTAAATTGTCCGTAGGTGTGAATGTGAGTGTGAATGGTTGTCTGTCTCTATGTGTCAGCCCTGTGATAGTCTGGTGACCTGTCCAGGGTGAACCCCGCCTCTCACTCAATGGCAGGAGATCGCATCAGCAGACCTGAGTTTGCCGATAGAGGAGCTCAGACAGGTCGGGGGGAGCCAGGTTGTGGAGGGCTTTATAGGTGATGATGATGTTTGAAGTGGGGGATGGGGAGCCAGTGGAGGCTATGAAAGATGGAGGTGATGAGGTCACAGGGGCAGGAGTGTGTGAGAAGATGAGCTGCTGAATTCTGGATTTAATGTAGTTTCGGTTTTGGATGATGAACCGTAGAGGAGACGGTTGCAGTAGTCGAGTCTGGAAGTGATAAATGTGTGAATGAGAGTCTCTGCAGCTGAAGAGCAGAGGGATGGACGGAGGCAGGCAATGTTTCTGAGATGGAAGAAGGCTGTTTTGGTGATGTGTTTGATAAGTTGGTCAGAGGAGAGGGTTAGGTGAGCACAGTGGAGCCATCAATGGAGAGGAGGGAGAAGTTATGGGTGGGTCTGATTAAAGATCTGGTACCAATGATGATGATGACTTTTGATTTGTCACAGTTCAGTTGGATGAAGTTGGGTTGAAGCCAGGATTTTATTTCCATGATGCAGTTGGTGAGGGCAGAGTGATGGCTCTGGTGGAGATGTGAAACTAAGTGTTGTCAGCGAAGCAGTGAAACTGACGTCCATGACGGCAGATTATTTGACCAAAGGGGGAGAATGTACAGGATGAAGAGGAGGGGGCTGAGAACTGAACCTTGGGGAACGCCAAAGTTCATAAATTGTCTGTTCTTCTTCTTATAAACACGTTGAGTCACTCAGAGCTGATTAAATAATGAATGAGCCTCTTTGATAATAACTCATGGTCGGTAGGAAGTTCTCTAGAAACACGTTTAACAGCCATGCCTGTAGTTCATAACAAAAGTTCCCTCTGAGTGTCATCACACAGTCGAAGCTTTACCATCTCTTGTGGTTTGTTTCAGGAATGTCTTCGTTATGGAGCCTGAGGCCAGTGCTGACATCACTGTTGCAAGGTAAGTGCACACACCTGCACACTTTCAAAGGCTCTGCTTCAGGTGCAGAACTCAGCAGGTGATGAAGCTTAACAGCTCCTGCACGCTGTCTCTTGTATCAAACTGTTAATATCATTGAAATGTAAAAACTTAATGTTTGAATCTAATTTCTTTAAAAACAAACAAAAAAAAGTTAAGATATTTTTGGGCATTTTTAGCCTTTATTTGACAGGACAGACAAGTGTGAAAGGGGGCGAGAGAGAGGGAGTGACATGCAGCAAAGGGCCACAGGCTGGAGTCGAACCCGGGCCGCTGCAGCAACAGCCTTGTACATGGGGCGCCTGCTCTACCACTAAGCCACCGACGCCCCATAATTTCTTTAAAATTTTAACATGTTGATAACGTGTTTCCGTCTCTGCAGCATCCCAGCATGCCTCTGCCTGGACGGGTCCCATCCTCTCCAGGACGATGGCTACTCTCAACCAGATGCACCGCCAGGGGAAACCCAAACAACCCCCTAAGTCTATCAGCGCCACGTTCGGCCATCCCCAGCTGAAGGCGGTGGTCCTGAAAACCATGAACCGAAAGCCCAAGAAGCCCAACTCCGCCAACAGAAAGTGCGCTCGAGTGCGGCTGTCCAACGGGAAGGAGGTGGTGGTGTTCATCCCCGGGGAGGGACACAACGTGCAGGAGCACAACGTGGTGCTGGTGGAGGGCGGGAAGAAGCAGGATCTGCCCGGAGTCAAACTCCGAGTGATCCGAGGGAAATTTGACTGTGCTCACGTGGTGAAGAAGAAACAGTAGACTGAGAGAGGGAACGCTTCTGTGATGTGTGTGTGTGTGTGTCAGATGTTTAATAAATACATGTGTTCGTCATCATCATGTCGGTGACTGGCTTCAAACTGACGTCAAAGTTTTAATGGAGATGTTAAATACACTGCATGGCCAAAAGTATGTAGACACCAGCTCAGTCCACCCATATAACAGCCTTTACTCCTTTAGCTCCCGACGTGATGTTTAATCTGCTGCGTTCAGACTCCAGAGTGTCGGCGAGGTCCAACACCAGTCAGTGTTCCAGTTCATCCCAAAGGTGCTGGATGGGATTGAGGTCCACACAGTTTATATATTCAGCATCATGCTTGTGTTTGGCCACGTGTTGGAGCTGGTTTGCTGTCTCTCTGAAGTCACTGTCCATTAGTTGCTCACTCTACTCACTGTACTTCAAACAGAATGTCTTTTACAAACCTGACGTGTGTGAGTCACTTTCAGTCCATTCAAAATGGACTGGGGACCCACCAGTTGGGAACCACTGCATAACCCATATTAATGATTCAAAGCAAATTCTGAGTAAAAACTAGCAAGGAAGGTTCCTAAATGTTTGGTTTTACACATTTAAAAAGTGTCTGCAGGTCCTTGAAATGTCTTAAATTCAGTTTAATAAATATTTGGCCTTAAAAGTCATTAAATAGTTTTAAATTTGATTGTGAGGGGTCTTTAAAGCCACAAACATTCTATGTATTTTCATTTAGCTTTTAATTTCTTGTCAAAATTAGAAACGCTCTACTGTGTGAAAGTCCACATATCTGATGTTACATATTTTAAACCTGCCACTGAACTTAATACTGCTTTTTACTTTGTACTTACACTTATCTGTTGACAGGATGTAGATCAGCCTATAACTCACTCTAATAACCATATTATATAAAAACCTCTCTCTGCATGGCACCACATATATACTTACCCTTTTTTATGTGCAATGCTTTTTAAAAATCAGTCTTAGATTTGGTTAAAAATAATCTTGAAAAAGGTTAAAAAACTATTAAAGTGTCTGATAACTGTAGATCTGTATAAAAAAAAAAAAAAAAAAGTGTTGCCTGATGTAAAGCACAGCGGTGGAACTCAGATGCCTTCAGTAAATATCAATTTACTTATTGTCAGAATCACAAATAATTTATTGATTTATTTATTAAGTGGAAATCATGATCCATTACAGTCACTCTGAATTAAAGAATAGAGACGTAAGATAAAGTATGAAATAGAATTATGTAAATATAAAGTAATAAAATAGAAATAAAACTGTGCATTAAGCTACAATGCTAACACCAGTAGTTAAGATATTTAGAATAAAATGAATATTTTCACTGGTCTGAGTCTGTTAGTGTAACTGATATTAATAAAATTATTGATAATTTTGAGTGATGAATATTAACATTGAGACACAGACCTTAGCCGAATCACCCAGCTCCTCCATGGCGACACTCGCAATACCAGAAAAGACGCTTTTGACATTGTCCAGGAAGAAAATACCACCAAAGTCTTTAAAAGGACGATAAAATGAAACTCCACAAACATTATCTTTTGAATATGATAAGATAAAAATGTATTTATTGTTGTGCAGCAGTTGCATTACAAAGTAGAAACGAGTGCAAATACATAGAGTGCAAACGAACAGTAAAGATTATCAATAAAATGCAAAAATCAAATGTACACAATGACAGCTGTAAACAGGTTATTAACAGGTGAGCGATGTCATAAATATGACTGGTTAAAAGAAAAAGTAAACCTAGTTGACAGCGAGGATCACAGAAAATAAAAACACTGAAGGCAAAATAAATAAAAATATATTTATAACATCCACCTAAAATAAAAGCAGTTGCAGTTCACCTTCCGACCAGCAGCGGCAGCACTGAGCGTAAAGCCGAGCAGCTGCTGAGTGAAGAAGACGGGCGCCATGTTTGATTTTACGTTGAATCCACCTGCACTTCACCGGTGTTAAAGTCGTGTTTTGGATCTTCATGCGGCTCCTGAAATCGACGTGATTTCTCCTGACAGGCTGTTGAGAAGTTCCCCTTTTCCCAAGTGCGTAAATATGTTCGACATTGATTCATAAAAAAATAACTTTATTAGCATTAAACGACAGAAACAAGTGTTTTGCCAACGCAGCTGTTCAGGACTGAGTTACGTTGTATGACGCCTGCATCAGAGCTAGCAAACACAGCTAGCATTCCACTGAGCCAAAGTCAAACCAGTCGTCTGCTCCGCGAGGATTTAAACACTTCGTCAGTATTTCTGGACCTTTTATAACGTCTCTGCTCTCCATCATTCTGCTGAGAACAACGGTAACGATACGTGTTTGTGCGTTTCGGTGAACGTTAACGCTTTTGTTGACGATTAGCAAGCTAGCTTAACCGTTAGCTTCTGAGGGAAATATCTGCTCGGTGTTCATTAATTAATCTCATCTCTGATTGGCTGAGTCGCTGTAAAACGCAACAATTGACGCGTCGCACAGGTGTAACGGTGCTAGCTAGCTTTAATGAGTTTAACATTGTGTGTTGATGAACGGTTTATGTGATACTAAACTTTAAATACACGACGAAGTGACGTTTTCGATGCAGGACAAACTTGTATCAGTATTTAGCAGCGTGGTGTTAAAACAAATGCTCTGTTTTCACTGCTGTGAACTATACATGGTCCGTGAAGTGGACACTGGTGTCTCCACAGTTTAGTCCTTTTGTCAAGGGTCTGTTGTGTCTACAGGCCCCGTGTCCAATGAATGGAAATATTAATGCTCCAGTAGTTTTTATACACAAAACCCTTATTGCAGGGTCCACTTATGACACTATATGTCCACAGCTTGTCCTTTTCCTGTCTCACCCTGACAATGTCCCTGTGCTCAAAGCAGCTCCATAAATAAATGTCTCTCCCAGTTTGGTGGAGAAGAACCAAACCTCCACATTCCTATAAAAACACCAAAGACATGACAGGATAGAGCTGTACAGTGTTTTCTGGGGGTTCACAGATCGATAGATGCATCGAAAATGTGAAATGATGCGATTGTGCAACTGCTTAATCAAAATGGCAGAGGACAGAATGAATGAGAAGGTGTTTATCTATTTATTCTCCATGAGCAAAGGAGCTTTGAGGAGGTGGATGGGTTGTACATTTACAGGATCAACTTGCTGCAGTCTTAACTCTATTAAGAAAGAGCTGAAATCTGAAGAAAAATAGTTTGAGGACATCCCGTCAGTGTCTAAATCAGAGACAGGTAGGGCTGCCACGATTAGTCGACTAATCGATGACTAATCGACTATTAAAATAACCGGTGACTATTTTAGTAGTCGACTAATCGGTTTGAGTC